AGTTAAACAAATACACTAACAAAAACCCACACAGTCACTTTATAAAAATTATTACTGACCTAGCCATTATTAGATTTTAGTTCTCAGGCTGAAGAATTTCCTTATATGAAAAGAATAAAGCAAATTGTCTTTAAATGGGTAATGGTAAATTAGTTTTTTGCGAAAGCTTTACAGAAAATGGTTACCAAAGCCTAATCACAGAAAAATGAGTGATAAAATTACTTAATAGTGGTATTAGCTGTTGCTGTGTCTATTCCTCCAAATTCGTCATCATAGTCTTCTGTAAACGTTTTGGATATCACCTCTCCTGGAACTAAATTAAAAACCAATTATACTTTTAAACAAAATATTTGATGCTAGTAAAAAAAGAATCAATGTAACATACAAAAAAATTTACAATGTCCTCTTCCATTAGAGATGGAGGGAATCTATTTACCAAAATATTTTATTATTACAATTATATGAAACAAACCCACGTGATTTTTAATTGAGGACAGCTTTAATTGGCAACATGTTTTCATTTAGTATTTGGAAAGTTATGTACTCACACACATTTCTCTAGTTTCAAACTTCACTGCTAAGTAAGCTGTATACATTATCACTTGTCGCAATATCATACTGGAGAGTATTAATAACAGAACTTTAGTAATTCAGTTACAACTTTCATGTTTTTCAAAATAAAGAATAAACATCTTGTATATTACATCTATAGTATGAGATCCTATCTTACTATACAATTAAGGAACAAGAAATAAACTTTTTTTTCAACCATTTACAAATCATTTTGGTGCAGATTATTACTGTGTAGCACAGAGCTGCTAAAATAGTAACAAACACAACTGTTATATACTGATCAAATATTGTGGTGGGCAGAAAAAAGTTAGAAAACAAATTTAGTGAAATACTATAAAGAAGAAAAAAGTTTAGAGCTGTTACCCGTGGAACATGGACGGGGATCAGGATAACTTGGACAGTCACAGATGTACTGGTTTTTCGACTGGTACAAACACAGATGGCTACAACCACCATTCTGAACTGCACATGGATTGGTTCCTGTAGTTTAACAAAAATATTGTAAAATATGAAATCTCTCATTCTTAAAACTAGGAATGAAGTTCTACAAGTCCAAAAAAAGGCTAAAGCAAGTTATTTAACAACCGATAGCATATAAAGATATATGATCACAGTACAGCAAGTTAATAATAGTTGTACAGCAATACCCTTCCCTTAGAGACACATTATATGCATTAGTAATCTGTAGGTATAAAAGTAGGATTTTAAATTAAAATCTACTAAAGCCTGAAACTGTTTGGATTAATAAAATAAACATACAATGTAAGAACATATCCTTCAACAATATTCAATTTAGTATGCATAATGACAAGGCTTTTTTTTTCAGGTTCTATACATGAAGCAGAATAACCTCTTTATTATGCTACATTTTGTAAAAGATATTGGTCCACTGCTAGAATTCTTTTTACTACTTTACATAACTAGCCATCTTTACTTACCCATTTGTCTTTCCTTTGCCACAGCTTTCACTTCCATCATGTATTCAATGTTCCCTTTCACCACAGTCCGATGTTGTCCTGTCAGTTTATCTACACGTTCAATAGTTTGGCTTTGCCAGTCTGTCCAGTAGATGTAAGAACTGAACTGAAAAATTGCAGTTAAATTAACATAATGATACTGCTATTGGAACAGTAAAGAGTAACAATTTAATGTGCACATAACTATCTTTATATCAAATAAAACAAATGATGGTCTTAAAAATCATAATACTACTTGAAAACTTACTTGTGTCAGACCAAAAGGATGAGGAATATCCTGGACCAAAACAACACGGTTTTTTCCATTGAGACTGGACGTTTCAATTCTGTCCAACTGAGCATCAGCCCAGTACAGCTGCTTAGCACCATAGTCTATTGTAAGGCCATTAGGCCAGCCAAGGTGGGTTGCTACTATTATCCTACGGCCACTGCCATCTAAAAATGAGCGTTCTATCTTAGGCAGTTTACCCCAGTCTGACCAGAACAGGAAACTGAAAAATGCATAAAAGCACATCAGTAAATTCTGGAATGCACAACAATCAGTAACAAAATATGCTATTTTAAAATCAATATGCAATACACAACTTTTTTTTAGGATTTATCATTGTTAATATTTTGCAATAATATAATTCCTAAATAAAACAAAATCACCAGTACTTACAAGTTATCTACAATTGAAATGATCAGAGTATTGACTGCAAAAAAAAAAAAAACCACAAGAGCCCACACTTGTTCTTAAAGTAATCTAGTAATCAAACACCTGAAAGATTCCTTAGATGCCTACAGAAACAAAAATAACTCAAAGACCATTCTCCAGTATATGCAAACACTTGAGATTGTTAAAAGCTGAAAACATCTTTTTAATGTAAAAATCATTGATAAACTATAATTTTTAATTTTACTGTTAAGACTTGTAGATACTTGCCCTTCACTAGGAAATACTGCAATAGCACGAGGTTCTCCAAGATCCAAATTAATCAACACTTTTCTTGAAGTGCCATCTGTCCTTGACACTTCAATGACGTTTCTTCCAGTATCAGTCCAGTACAGGTTCTTAGCTACCCAATCAACAGTCAGACCATCCGCAGTAACTAGGTCATCACTAATTATTGTTTCAACATTACTTCCATTTAGGTTGGCACGCCTGAAAAAGAATTATGATGTCTAGCTATAAACTGACTAAGAATCATTTAATTGCAGTAGAACAGTTTTTCAAAACACTCAGTGAGGAAAACTAACTGTATTAGAGCACATTTTTTGAACTTTTCCTGAAAATAAACAAACTGTATTATAGCAGTTTTTCAAAACTCTCAGTGAAGACTAACTGTAATAGAGAAATTTTTTAAAATCCCTAATTGAAAACAAGTTAATTTTAACATTGAGAGGTAATAGCTTTCATACCGAGTTATTGCATGCTTGTTAGCTGAGTATAAATTACCTAAAAATAACAAAAGTTCCAAAAAAACAATTTTTGAAAATTGAGAAGTGTTTGATATTTAAGTAATAATGAAGATAATTCTCATGAGAAGGTATGCCTGCTGCTTCTCAAAGTGGGTGCATCCTCCCCACTACTTTAAGTTTACTAAAATTGTATCTTACAAATAGTAAAGCTAAAAACTTGATAGTTAGCACTGTTAAGTCATGTGCAGTATGTTCACTTATCACATGTACATACACAAATTTGGTTTTGTGAAGCTCATTTCGGCCTCTATGACAGATCTATTAAATAAATGTTCAAACTCAGCAAATACATACTTTTGATACCTATAAATTTCATTATGATTTTAAAATACACCCAACTTCCCAAACTTGAAAAAGTGGTAAAAAAGCCAAAAGACTAGGTCAGTTATGGCTGTGATGCTGCTGCACAGCCTTTTTTTTGTGTGTGTGTTTAAGATGTAGCTTTGTGATGATGATGAAGCATAGTCTTTTCTTTCAAAAATTGATGTCCTTAGTGTTTTGGATGTAGCTTTGTGGTGATGCTGTATAGCCTTTTCTTTCAGAAACTGGCATTAAGTGTTTACTATGGCATACCAAATTTCTTATCTTCCACAGAATTTGTAATTTGAGGCAATATCCTTGTTAGAATAAACAAAAGTATTGCAATCAAATTAACATATTGTACAGTTATTTGAAAGTTTTCTTGTACATACGTCATTAGTTAACATATATAAACAGCTTGTAAGAAACAAAAATCACCTTAGAACATCTATTCCCACATCACTGAAGTAAATCTTTCCTTCTTTCAAATCAAAATCAAGGGCTACTGTATTATACACATCTGTGATTGGTAAGAAGACGTCTGTAAAATCAGGTGTGTCCAATGATATGCGACGAATGCTTACTCGATTGGGGAAAAGCAGATAGGCTGATGGACCTACAAACAAACAAAGATTCATACCTTAACACAAGAATGACAATAATAATAATACAAACTGCAAATGAATTTTTATTTTTTAGATATGCATGGTTAAGTATGAATAACAAACATGTAAGTACTTCTAATCACCTTTAATTCTCAAGTGAATTTCTATATGTTTTCATTGCCAAATATATGAAACATACATGTCATACTGCAAAAGTTTACAAGCTATAGGTTAAAAAAAAACTATTAATTTAAGAACAAATTTCTCACTCTGTTCACAGCTAAGTTTATCCTTTAGTAAGCTGAGACCTGTAGGGCATGCACACGAATAGCCATGTGAATTGCGTAGACACAAGTGGCTGCACCCTCCATTGTCAACTCCGCATTTGCTAATGCCTGGCCAAGAACAAATACAAGCACAATGAATAGGACTATATATATATATATATATATATATATTAATATTATTTCTCCATTAATTAATATTATGAATTTATTAACAACTTATAAGAGGATAAAAAGTAATTCTGTAGACTGAAAAAATAAATTTTACATAAATGAATCCTGAAGTTCATTCTACTAAAATTATGACAGTTTCCTTTAAATGCCTTTGCAAACTTTTCATTCATAGGGATAAAATAAACTTATTAAAACTAAACTCCTAGCGAACACTTACTGGTTATACTTTTTCACACTTAGTTTTAAAGATAAACATTCCATGGATACTGATGGATTTTAAACTTTACCAGTGCTGTCAACCTGGACTGCATGAATATCCATTAATCCTGCCAGATTTTTACGAACAAATTCCACATTCTGTCCAGTATCCCTGTTTGCTCTATGAATAGCACGTGTTTCCCAGTCAGTCCAGTAGATGGAGCTTCCAGCTATGGTCAAACCATAAGGATGTGGTACATCTCTTACCAGAATATGACGATTTCCACCATTCAGGTCAACTGCCTCAATCAACTAGTTTCAAAAATAATAATATTATTAGCAGGAACCCCTATCACAATTTATAAAATACAATAACTTCTGCACTTTTAGAAACAAGACCTCCTTCCTCCCATTCATTCCTAATCCATCCCTGAAAGAGAATAATAATCTACCTTCTGAAACCACTTTGTTCATTGTTGTTGTTGTTTTTTTAATTATATTTTATCTGAAGTCTCAGCATATAAAATTGTTAATATCAAATTTATCCTGTAATAAATTATTCCTTATGTTTTTTACTAAATACAGTAATATTTAGATGAAATATTACTGTTTCTTAACTGTAAGACAACTTAACCTTTACATTTAATTAACATTATACTGACCTTAAACCCTTATTTCTGTTTTCGGTGCAAACTAAACTCTAAAAACATTCAAGTACAGGATGGAAATAAAAAATAAAATTAAAGTATATTCAAACGACACAAGGTTATATCTTACCGCTGTTTTAGCATCTGCCCATAACAACTGTTCTTTGGGACGGTCTATTGTCAGTCCATTGGGCCATCCAAGATTTTCACTGACAATCGTTACTCTGCTTTCTCCATCCATGTCAGCTCTCTCTATTCTTGGTTTGTTACCCCAGTCTGTCCAGTACATAAATCTGCAAATATTGGTTGGAGAATTATGTTAGTTTATATATATAAACCCACTATTTTCACATAAAACTAAATAAATGTTTTGCAACTAACAGAACAGACAATTTTGGTTAAGCTTATGTTCCAAACCAGTGAAAAGAAAAAATGGCAGTCTTGAAAACTGTTACCAAGTCACTGCAGTAGACTGTTCTGTTAAAATGATTTTGTTAGTCTTGTGAATGACTACAACAGTTTATGTAGAATATTCATAAAATTTTAATGACTGGTGATTTTTAAAGATCCTAATATTAATTATACAAATTATTTAGTGCAAACAATAGTGTTCTGTCTCATAACTAGGTTCAACTACTACAAAAAGTAAAAAATGTATGATTAAGCACAACTAAGATGTTTTACCCTTTGTCATAATGTAGCACAAGACCCCTTGGACTATCGAGATTTTCCCATATTAAAACTTTCCGATAATATCCGTCAAGGTCTGCTACTTCAATATGATTTCGTTTATTATCCGACCAATAAATTTTGTGTCCAATGGAGTCTACAGCAAGCCCATCCACCATCTCCAGACCAACAGTGAAAATATCTTCTTTGCCTTTTCCATTTAGATCAGATCTTTGAATCTTGTCCAGTGATGTATCAGACCAATATATTTTACCTGAAAACAAAATTTGTATAATAACAAAAAAACAATCACTTATGATACTGAATGAAATAATGATTATCTAAGAACCACATTGATTGATATTTCCACTAATAGAAATAAAATATGCACATGTTAAATAAGGGAACTACAATAAAGTATGCCAAGTCAAATGCAGCAGTTGCTTTTCAGTGACAAATCCACACTTTAGCCACAAACCAAACATTACTAAAATAGCTAAAGCTCAATCCTATCTAGCTATTGATACAGATACTACTAATGTTATACAACTTATCTGAATTCTCTCATCTTCTTAAGCCACTTTTACACACACCTAAGCTTGAATGCATATTTAAACCAGCATTGAAATTTTTCCATTTATTGGTTGGTTTTTGTACAAAATAAGACAATAAGCTGTCAATGATCTGTACATCACAAAGAATCAAACACCAGATTTTAGAGTAGTAAGTCTATAAACTTACTGCTGAACCACCAGAAGATGGTCTCAGAATGGGAACATCACCTAGATCATATTAAATTACATTAGTTTAAAAAATTTAACAATAAATTTCTGCATTAAAAAAAAATAAAAGCTTTGACTGCAGCAAGGTTAGAAGGTACTCTAATATAGTTTTTGATAACTTTTGGTTAACTCTTCTAATCTGAGAACAATAGTATTTCATACCTTTGTAGGGAACCACTTTCAAACCCAGTTGTTCTAGATTGTGATTACACAGTAACTATAAAACAGTACTGGTCTTACTATATATATAGCTAAAATGGTTACATGTCACTTAAACAACAACAAACATTTATTATTAATCTGTCAATGATTAATAACCCTGTTAAAAGGACCATTATAAACATTTAGAAAATCTTCTGTTGTCTGAAGTAGCCTTTCCTGGTTCCTAGTGTATCAGTGAGGTGTTAAAGTTTCTAATGGTTGTTCTACTAACTCCAAGCAACGTAGTAAATGCGTTAAAATTTTCTATTGGTAGTTTTACTAGTTCCTAGGATGAGAACATATTACAGTTTCAAGCAGCTGTCTTACCGATTTCCAGTATATCAGTGAGGTGTTACTGGTTTCTAATACATCCTTAACTCTCTTGCAACAAAGTCGGTCAAACTGACCAACCTCGTAACCACTTTTGTTCTCATTATAGTTTTCATACTATAACTTTAATACATTTTGTGTATCTTCACAAAATTTGGCAGACTTTTAATAAACATTACAAGTCTTTGTGCAAAGAAAATCAGATTTTTTTAATGAAGTATTTTTAAAGATTTATCCATCAATATATATAATATTTCTATGTACTAGTCTGAGTGCAAAGTGATTTCCACACTAAGATTAAAAATACTTCTGTCTCAAAAATATAAATTTTTATTAACAAATTGAAATAGATCTAAATTACCCTTTTCTTCTTTCTAGAATGACTTCAAATTGTGATATGAAACTACATTTGTTCATCATAAATAACTTTAAACTCATAACAGTATACATATACTTATATATTATTGTTTTATTGCCTTTTGAACCCTTGGTAAATGTGCAGCTCACGTTGTGCTATTGAATTACATTATGTGGGAGCTGCTCATGAGTGTATCTTGTGAAAAAACATTATTATATTACTATTTATTTCACGTAATCTAATGTAAAAAGTTTCCTATTTTTATATTTTAGTTACTTTTATAATAATAATAAATAAAGAATAAAAGAAAAACTTACCTGGGTCTTTTTTTTTCTGTCAACAACACTTAATCTTATGTGTGTGTGTGTGTGTGTGTGTGTGTATAAACTTAAAACATTATATTTTGTAGGCTATGTGCAAAACTAATTAACAAAAATAAATTATCTAACCTTGAAATTGAATCTTTATTTT